TAACAAAGGTTTATGAATATGTGTAAAGTGCTTAGCATATATTCTGGCATATAGTGAGGTATTCAATAAACCGTAGCTATTATTGTTATTAATAGTTTGTTATTATTCATTCAGCAAACATTTACTAAGTACTTATTTTGGGCCTTGTGCTTTCCTTTGATTCTACCCTAATTTCAACAATTTAAAAAGTACATATATATGTCATGACCAAGGGTAAGAAACAGGGCCCCAGGTTATTGACCTGATAGGCTAGGAGTTGTGCAATTGTCACAGAATATCAACTCTTCCTTGATCTGCAAGTGTAGAGCTATGAGAACAGTTCCTTCCTGTACTCTATTCTCCTTGGCCACTCAACAGCAGAAACACACATGATTACTGCAAGAGCAGCTGTCCAAAACTGCTTCATAGAGAAAGAACACATTTGGAATTACTGGAAAAAGAAGATACTGCTCCATAGGACGTTTGTATAACCAAGTCAGACTCGAGAGGGTATATGTGGAGGCTGAGTGACTTGCCATCTGTGGCCAGTATATCAATATTTACAGCTTCTCTGTCATTAGGATGGCAATGGCAAGCTGCCTCGAAAAATATGTTGTATAATCCAGTGAATTTCCTCCCCCATATCTTGGAAGTTTGGGAAGAACTGTAATGGATTCCAAACTGTTTTGAATTAACAAAAAGCACTTTTTCCTGTTGCAGAGTTCCAGCTGGAACCCTCCTATGCTTTTCTTCAGCAACCAGCAAACAGCAAACGCTCAAGGGGGCAAGGTGTCCAATGGAGTGTCCTGGGGCTTGTCAGCTTCACTGAGCTTTACACTTGGCTTCAGCTGCCGGGTGGTGTGGGGAGTTGGCTAGTGTGGCTGGCATGAAGCAGCGGCGCCAGCTGTAAATATGCCCTTGCTGGAGGCAGTTTTATTACTCTTGACGCCACCCTTCCAGTTGGTGAGACTGGAGGAGCAGGGGCTGCTATCAGATATGGCGACTGCTGAGGAAGCGTTCCTTCTGAATTATGGACCTGTCCCTTAGTGGGTTCGATGGAGGGAGCGGAGGTGGCGGCCACCACCAACACAGGTGTGAGGGGAGTGGACCACAGTCCCCTGGCCGGGCAGCTGAGGGCGGTGGGTGTGGCAGACGGGGCTCTTGAAGGTGACAGGACGCCTGGGGTTCAGTCCTAGTTTCACTGCTCACTAGTTGGTAGATCTTAGACAATTTGCTTAATAGGATGCTTTTTTTTTTATGAAACGAGAATGAAAATACAGGAGAATGGTCGGGATGTAGTGAGAAAATGTCTACGAAAACCTCTTAGAAAGGTACCTAGTGCTGCCCTTTGTCTGGTTCTGGAGTGTTGTGCTTTTAGCCTCGTCCTTCCTGCCTCAGAGGAGAAAGAGAAGAGAAAAACTTGAGAAGAACTAGGTCAGCTCTCTCAGCAAGCTTGGTTTGAGAGCTGAGTAGGTAGTAGAGGTGCGAAGCGCCAGGCCAATCTAGCACCAAATCTAATGGTATCAGCAGTTTCTAGGGTTGAAGCTGAGCAACAGTGATCTCACTATAGCAATTCCAATTTCCTCAGCAAATGCTTATTTGGGTCAAGTCAGGTACTTCTACCTCCAAAACAAATCCCTTTGGGTCTTGCAGGGACCCCCTGCCCTTCATCTCCCCAATTCCTTACCTCCCAACTCTTACCCGATGCCCACTCCCCATGTGTCCTTCAGTCTAGGGCCTTAGCGCCTTCACAGGATGCAGCTCTTGTGTGATTGCAAGGCTAGCACAGAAGGACACCAATGGATCCCTGCCCAAAGGGCATCTTTTTATAATCACTAAAGCTACCTAGGACTTCAGAATACACTGCAGAGGAGAAAATAATCAAGCTTGTTAAGATCACATAGGATCAGAATTTGTTGACTGGGTCAAAGCTTCTTGCTTACATTACATGTATGTTTTCCCTTCCTGGAAGATCCAGGATAGGAAAAAAATTAAAACTCATTGAGAAATCACATGCCATACTCCAAGAAACCACAAGCTGGGATCCTACCATCTACGGAAGACTGGGATTCTGATCTTACTGAAATCCAGTCTTTGGATTGGGGAAGGGCTTTTTCTGGCCTGTACCCAATCAGCTTCTCTGAGTAAGGAAGAGAATCAAGTTCCTGTGGGTTGAGCAAACACAGGGTCCAGTTCATTCATTCTTATCTACTGCCTGTAGGTAGACTTCATCTACAAAAGCAAACTTTGATCAAGGAAGGATTTGCTTTTTGTGATATGGGAACTGGACAATGGTTAATTTTTTAAAAAAAGAAGTCTAAAATTATTTATAGGGTTTTCTTCTTATAACCACAGATACATGATTTTAATAATCTGTGGTTGGGTGTTCCCTTCAGATCTCGTTCATTGTTGTGAGGATCCAATGAGATCTGAATGTATGTGAAGAGAATCTGTGTAGGGCTAAAAGGAACACATTCATTCAGTATCTACATTTAAATGGTACTGTTTTTAACTGTCATAATTAAAAGCCAAAGCCTGCAATATCTATTTAATTGAATCAAGCCATTTATTCACAGAGCTATTTTTTGGCCAATGAATGAAACATTTAAAGGCCTAACAAATCACTGATTTTTAAACAATCTAGCTTGTGAGTTATGGGACAGTAATGGCATTTTTCTAGATGAAACCACAGTGTCTCATGTGCCCATGAAACAACACTGCTCAGGTTCAAAAAGCCCTGAAATATCATGATTGTTTCTTGTCTAGACCTCTCCTGGTTAGAAATTAGGCATCTGTGAATGGCTTATTTCAAATACTCCCCTTAGTATCTGTAGTAGGAGCATAAACTGGTACAAACCTTAGGGAAAACAATATGGCAACAATGTATCAAAAGACTCAAAAATGTTCAAAGGCATTTAGAATGAGAAAGTAATGTGAATTCTGAACAGAAATTTACACACAAGAATGTGCACTACAGCAAAATTTAGGACACATTTTAAACAATTTTCTATATTCTTCTCTTTAGGTGTTTGTAATAATTTATAAGCAACCTCAACATCAACAAGGAGATAATTTAGTATGTAATGGTCCTTTATATTTTATAGTCTAATAAAAATGGCAGCATATATATATATGCTATATAGAAACTCTTTGGTAGGAGAAATAGGATTTTGTTAATTCTATTTTATTCTGAGGACAGAGACCTTTACTTTTCACTTATATCTTTCTATATTATTTGAATTATAAAATGACCATGTATTACTTTTCTTTTAAAAACTTAATAAAAATATTAACAAAGAGTATATAATGATATTAGAAAATGATGAAGTGAAAAAATACTATAAACATGGCATATATAGTATACTAAGGAAAAAATCTTAGAAATATACCAAATGTTAATAATTACATTTCTGTTTTTCATTAAAAATAAAATGTACCTTAACATATTAGCTAAATAGTTTCAACTTGTTTTCTTTTTTTTTAATTTAATCTTTTTCTCCTGATAAACTTAAAATAAGCTGGAATTTCATTCTTATTTGCTGCATTAAACACAGATCCCAGAGGATCAAGGGTTAATTTAAGAAGTAGATTCATTCAAGATATTAGAATATGTTACATAGGATATTTTTGTAATGTTAAATATAACATCAAAAAAGTTATTTTTAAATGAGTTATGATTTGACACTAGAATGTGAGCTTCCAGAGTTAACCTGTACCAGATTGTTACCTACTTGCATCCGAGTCATGTGAAGGGCAGAGTTCGCATAGGCTCTGGAGCCCGAGGGCCTGAGTTCAGAATCCCAGCCCCACCTTTTGCGAGCAGCTAACCCTGTGCCAGTGACTGAACCTGTTAGTACTTTCGTTCCCTTGTTTACAGTACTTACCTCATTGTGAGAAGTAAATGAATGTGAAATGAATAAGTACTTAATAATACTGCCTGGTGCCTAATAAGTACTTAATAATACTGCTATTATTATTATTATTCCTAATACACTATGCACCTGATTTCAGAAGCATCCTGCTTTCAAGTCATTGGACAACAAAGGACTAGAGAATGGATCGCGCTCTCTATAATACCCTGTACAATTACACCCAGCTCACATTCACAGGCCCCCTCGGTCCCCACAAGGCAGTTTTCACAGAGGACATTCTGCAGAGCACACATGGAAAGCTCCCCGAAGTCAGTCTCACTAATGAAAACTCATTGCTTAAAAATGAATTTCATAGAGAGAGAGAGATGAGAGTAAAACTTTCTTCTGTTCACGTTGCAGACATGTGAGAGGCCCATGAAAGCAGCATTTAAAGTAAGACCTGGCTTTCGTAGTTGGTTAGTTAGATCATGTAGTTGCAAGGCCAAAAATACAATGAATTGCTAAACAACTCAATATATTTCTCGGCTGTGTGTTCCTTGGTTCAGACTGCATTCTTAATCAAGCCAACCACCTCACAAAGGCACTTCAAGGGGAGCCATCAGAGGCGTTGGCGTGAGAAAGCAGGCAGAGGTCGGGAGACAGGCATTCCTTGATTCCTGATACTGGGAAAGCAATTTGCGGTACAATCTTATTGATGTTGGGGCAGGAGAGTAATTTGATCAGAACATTTAGTAGCGCTTTCTCTATGCCCAATGAGCATCATCTTAAGCAAAGGTATACATGTAATTTCTCAAGAGTAGATGGGCCTTCTGGAAAGGAAAGAAAAACGATGAGGAAAAAGACAATGAAAAGGAGAAGAGTGCATTTTTCTTCCATGTTTGGATTCACCGGGAAAAATATGGAGGGGTGTAAGAAAAGAGCCTGGGTGACCCACAGCTCTCAGACAGCAGATCTATGATATTCTTTCTTGGTAAGTTTACATGTGTGGTGACACTCTTGTGGCATTCTGCCACTAACATTTTCTGCAAGGAAAGTGCAGTAAATCCAGAGAGAAAAAGAACAGACTAGCATGAAGGAAAGCCAAAATTCTTTCAGCCATCCCACCATCATCCCAGCCTCTTTCATGGAAGATCAGAAGATGACTCTTACCTCCACTGAGAATAATGACAGCTATAAATATCGCCAAGTCGCTGTCATCTAATTCCAGTGCATTGAACTTCACAGCAAACTCAAACTTGGGCTCCATAAAGTCACCAAAGGGCTTTCTCAGGCTCTTTAGAAACTCCCTGGTCATGAATCCTTGGCCCTCTGATATGAGAACCCCGTCTTTATTCATCAAGGAGGCCAGCATTGTGTAAATGATCTCATGGACGCCATATTTTAGGAGAGTTACTTGGTCATTCAAGTCAAGGTTTACAAAACCAGGAATGCTTTTGGCATACTCTGTGATCTCCTGCACAGCTTCCACTGAGCGGAACTGACACCCCTGAAAAATGCGGATGGCCACCTCTTTGCTCTGCTCCTGCAGGGGGGTGATGTGTTTGAACTTGATTTTATCTTCTCCCATCATTAAGGAATTCATGTCATAGATAACAAATGGCTGCAAATAAAAAAGGGAAAAAGTGGTTGAGTTGGAGATTTCTAATTCACATAAAGAAAATTCCATTTTCTTTATGTACGTTTGCTTTGTTAACCAAAATCTTTGAATTCGAAAACACTTAATAATGAGAAAATACTCTTATCTCCTGATTATTCTTCCTAACTGTCTTCTGGGATCAAATATATTTCACCAATTTTAGTCTTCTTTCCTCTCAACTTACATTGTAACACTTTACCTATGATTGGCTAAGAGTCCCAATTTCTGTTGTTTGGAAAGTCTCTGTGGCTGATTTTTAAAATGAAACAAAATCTATTGTTTATCTTGGCTTTCTGTGGAGTATGTTTTTAACATTCTTTCAATAAAAAATCATTTCTGCAACTCTAAATCTTGTAGTTTCAGATTAAATCTACAAGATCTCAAATGAAACACTGTGCATGTAAAATATACTTAACTGTAAAAAAGTCAGTCTGAAAACAGAAATATTGAACCAAGAAAATGTCTTTTTTTTTTAGTGTTCTGAAAGGCAATCTGTTTTAGAAAGAGCGATGTGAAGGCCTGTGGGTAAGCGCTGCAAAAAGTGGCAAAATAAAAAAAATGCTTTTAGACTTATTTTTCAAAATAGGTCTTTAAAGATTAAATAATCAATAAAACACATGCATCAGTTACTTGGACTTGGATTAGGCTGCTTTCAACAAGTTGTGTTAATCACAAAATGATCTTTCTCTTTCATTTCCTCATAGAGAACTAACCAAAAGTTTGTGGTCATCGTGAATTCTCAGGGCTATTCTGATTGAGAAGAGCCAGCACACTTTACCTATGTTGCAATTATATAAGGAGTTAAACCCCCAAATCCATTCAAATAAGTGTATATCCAGAGGCTCTGGAATAACAGTGGGTGGTGTTCAGGCTCTAGCTTTGGTTCTGTGTTGAACTATATGACTTAGGAGAGTTATTTACCTTTCCTATGCCTCACATTTCTCAGCTGAGGGGAGTGGATTAATCTCAAAGGCTGTGTGTGTGTGCTGTATGTGTAGGTATGTATGAGCATGCCCATACACATGCATGTTCCTGAGAGTGAACTCTGAGACGTACTGAAAATAAAATTTCTTTTGAGTAGGGGTGCTGAGCATTCTCTCCGATTGGCAAGAGGCAGTGTGTACCCTGAGTGGCAGCCATAGCCAGCGGCAAACCCCACTGGATTGGAGATTCTAACTGCGTACTAATCTCTATACAACTCCATGATTTTCACCAAACTATTAAATCTGTTCTATGCTGAAAGAAAAAACAGTAGCACTAAGGACTTAGATGTTGTGTAGCTTTCCAAACGTGCATATTATCTCAACACCATTCACTGGGGTTATTCCAGAAATTCTTACTTTTTTAACCAAAAAATTCACTTCAGTTGTACTGCTCAGCCAACCCCGAAGGACAGATGTAGTAGGACTCAGGACTAAGTTTGTCTGGTGGCTCTCACAAATTCTTCAGTAAGTCAGGAGTAAATAATGCTCACACTGTTTTAGACAGTTTGCTGTTTTTGTTTTTTCTACTTCAGGATTGATGTTATTAAGGGGAAAGAAAAAAAGGACAGATAATCAGCCACATCAGTTAAAATGTGCTAAATTTCCCTAGAACGTCAGATTCTAATCATGAGAAAAATCTTGCTTTTATAGAACCTAGAAAAAAATGCGGTTTCTGTCCCCCCAGGAGTTTTGTAGCGTGTTCTAATTTGTTAATGAAATACTGGCTTTCTTTACTGCCATGAGAACCTGATGGTGTGGATACCTGAAAAGTTCATCCACATGTGCATGAGCACAAATAGCGTGACTATAAAAATCATCACTTCTTCACATACGGAAAGACTGTAGCCAGAACTGCCCACTTCAGCTTCTGGAAGAGCTTCTGATCAACCATTTGGCTTCTTGGCACAGAATGTATGCATAAAATTCTTTCACCTCCACATAAGCAATTTATCTGGAACTATGCCCTGATAAATCACCCTGTGGCTCTTCCCCTCCACTTCCCCTGTCCCCTCATATAAAGCCCCAGGTTCCTGTTTTTGAAACTCTGTGACAGTTGAACATAGGGCACAAAATCCTGCTAATTTTCTCTCCCAATTTAACAACAATGTGACTTTAACCCCTTGGCAATCGATGTTGGTCAGGATTTCCTGGCAGTAAACACTCAAGGACGGAGAAGGGACTCAGCAGCCCCCACCATCATGCCAAACCATTCCAGTTTTGTTTTTTGTTTTTTTTTTGAAAAGGTGGGGAACTGGCAGAGAATCCTGGGTATTGACATGCAAATGAATCCAGGTGGAGTTTTTTGCTTTTCCTAGTTCTTTCTGATTATCCTACTTTCTCGGCATATTTGAAGTCTGCATAAATTCTTTTAGCCTCCAAGTGGATCTGTCAAGCGCAAGAGTGATCACCGGTCATGATCTGCCTGAAGATCTGCCTTGTTTTGCCATTAATTCAATTCTTAGACTATAAACAGTTAACTTGCACATTTCACATGGGGACCTCCTCATCTTGGAACTGTGAAAAGTTAGTGGCCTGCCTGATTTATAGAGAACTGACCGCTCAAAACCACAGGTGGAATTTATCTTGAATCATTAATTTAATATTACGCTTCTGGTAAAACATTCCAGAAAGGAGATACTTCATTTCCATGTTTCTGTATGTTTGACAGAGCAAAGGGAAGCCTTATATGTGCTATTAGCTTAAACAATGTCACCTGAGATCTGCCATTATAAGAGGAACCATGCCACCGTCAAATTTGGTCTTAATGATTTTACATCTCTAGTTTGGGGCTAACTATGTACTTAACTTCAGATACTATTTCAAATGGCTAGATCAGCATCTCTCCTTAACAGGAAAGAACGTTTAATTACATTTAGGACTTGCTTTTATGAGGCCTGAAATGTATACAATTGTTGGGTATGCTTACAACAATTGTTGGGCTTAATGATACAAATTATAAAAACAAAATTGCTCAGGCCTGTACAAGGGCTTCACGACGAATCTGCCTCTGGCCATGATGAGGCTTGGACTTCTCATGAATTGACTGACCAGAAAAAGGGGAGAATGAAATGAAGAAAACTGCACTTCAATACAATGTTTTTCAGGGAAGCAAAATGGTTTCTGTAAGGGGAAATCTGTTTTCTTTGGAGAGATGCATCCAATAGAATGTGTTTTCATACAGTTTCATTTTCACAAATGGCTCTACATATCAAAGCCAGGATGGGATTAAGGGTACTGTTTTATAGAGAGAATTCAGTTTAGTTATTGATCTATTGCATGCGTCCTATGTATAACACAAAGATCATGGGGGAAATGGCATAATAATGAAAACAGTGGAGTAATAAAGGTTTACTATTTTAAATGGAAAAATAGAACAATAGTGTCCTTAGTAGTCCAATAACATCAGCATTTTAATACATGAATTATGAAAGGGATTATACACGAACACTCTAAGTTTACAGCTCCTTTTGAATAATGAAATAGCAAACTAGAGGAGTTACATGGGAAAGTCAACTCTGAAGGCACATTCTATTGTGGCGATTTCTCCAATTCGGGAGAGTGAAAATACTGTAGTGGACAACTCTACCCTCTCACAAATGATCACCTGGAAACCACGTCAGAGTAAAAGTGGAAAAACATGTAATCTCATGACGTCTCCTGATAGTCTTAGTTTTCTTGACAGATTAGAGCACAGGCTCAAAGAAGAAAACCGAATTCTCCCAGACTGTCTTCATTTTGTTTTCTTCCTCCTTCTTTTACTTCTGACTTTCACCCTTCTAGACACACATGGCTGTCCTCCTCAAGCCACAGCCGGTGAATGCTAATTCAAAGTGCATCGGCTGGGTTTCCTCAACTTTTTCTGGTTTCTGCCCCGATGTTCCCATTTCCCCCTTGTTGAGAACCAGGGCATTTACAGAACTGAAGGGGTCTCAGCAACGACCCGCTGAGTATGACTAGGTACGAATCAGCTGAAGCCAAGAAACTCCCCAAAGTCAAACAGCTATTTATAGCAACCCTGAGTTAGATCTCCCTACTCATGATTAGTTCTTTTCTCCTACTGCTTTCTACATGACTTGGCACTTTTTCTTTTTTAAATAAAATGACTGTTCTGGGAGGCATTGGGGCATTGAAACTGAAGCTCTTATATGCTGAGATCCTGGAGGCAGCACCTTTGAACTATTATTTCCTAGAGGTTCTAGTTAAGTGTTGTATGTGATGGATGTTAAGTTTGAAAGCCTCTCAAATTTAATCGTTTTCCTGCCTGGTTTAGAGATTTAAGACAAATAAAAACTTAATTGGAAGAATTATTCACACTCTAATGAAGTAACACATAACCACAGCTCTTAAAAAACCATCGATTGCCAGCCAAAACATTACTCAGCTGGCAAACAAGGGGATCGGCCAAGTGAGTCAAATCATCAAAAAAGAAAAAAACCTATGTGCTTTTCTTAACTGTATAGAGTATCACTTTTATTTATTGTCTGAAAAAAAGCTACTGTTTCAGATCTGTTATATCTTTAGCTGTTCCTGACAGTCCTGGCAATAAAGGCATTTACTTCATTAAAATTAATATATGGATTGATGATCTCCGGGGCCTAACTTTTTCAGTAGCTGCAGAAATAAATCAACACTACGATCCTGCTCTTTATTTATATCAGGGTTACTTCCTCAGCCTCTTTTCTCTGAGGGTCTTGCTGGTGTCTTCCTTCTCAGGGGAGTATATTCCAGCTCGCTCAGGCTTTTCCACAGATAAACAGGGAAATGTGGCTGTAAGTGCGGTTTAGCTCTGAGTGTAGGAGTTGAAACAACAGCTATCTGTCCAATAGTTTGAGTTACTAGATTTGATGGTCACTGAACATTTTACAGTATGGGGATTTAAATGGGTATAGAACTGTTTTCACAAAAGTTTACATTTCCATATTGGCTTTATTATTCAGCAGTTTCCTATTTCATACACTATTGAGAAAGTAAACATTTTTATGATGGTTCCAGTTTGCTCTTGTAATTATAAAAGCAGTGACTCCACATGTACCCATCATAAGCAATACGATACTTTGGGACCCAAAGTCCAATCTAATACAAATACCAAGCTTTATTTCTTATTTGCAGCTAGCGCCTCACCATCTCTCAGATGGGGGGTGGGAAGCTGGCAGACACACCAAGAGTTTTTCTATTTATTGTTTTATGGCAAACTATGGCACTAAAAATGGTTTTTGAAAACCACTCTCTGTTTATTTATATCAATAAACATGGGGTCATGTGACAATGATACACTCAGTGTGAGCATCCCCCCAGGGTCCTAGTCAAGCACTGGGAACTTCCACAGTCCATTCAGCACTCAGACTGCCTTCATGACACAGGGCACCCTAGCTGAATAATCACGGTCTTTGAGTTCAAAAGGATCTCCCAAAGAAGGGGCCTGGGTTGCAACAAGCCATTGAAAGGGAAATAGTGGGTGGTCAGTTCCATTCCTACTTCAAGGTGGCTAAGAGGTCTTTTGCTAGTAAAATTTCTTCTCTGGTGATCCACATCCTGTGATTCCACAGCCATCTTTCCTTTCCCTGGCCCTGAGCCTAAAATTCCCAAACATTCTTTTAAGCAAGGCAATGAAAAGTAGGGGCATCATGTCCCAGAGATATGAGCTTCATGTTAAAAAGAAAGGAGAGGAGCATTGAATTCATCTGCTCATCTATCTGTTTAGATAGGTGCCAGTGGCACCAGGGAGGAGGCCACAAGAGAAGGAAGTTCAGTTGGGAAGTGAGTGGCTCTGGTTGGCCTGGAGGCAAATGCTCGTGCTGGGTCTGAAAGATCTGCAGGCATTCCGTAAATGAGACAGGATACACAGCAGTTAAACTGAGCAGTAAGATAAATGTAAAGAATGGCCTTTTCAATAAAGTCACTTCCTTTTCCAAACGTTCTGAGTAAGTAAGTGATCACCCACTATGCCGAGTAGCCTCCCCCAGGCTTGGCTGGACCAATGCTCATGGCATTAGTCTCAAGCAGAGCGTATGAAGGGACACGGCCACTTGTTCATGTCCTCTACCCTCAAGAGTCCATACTTCTGCAAAGCTTTTCCTATCAATGCAAATCTTAACTTTCGTAAGTCCTGGCCAAGGGATAACAAACACCCCTGAGAGAGATGCTAATCAAATGAATAACATGACCACATAAGATAAAGAACAAATCTCCAGTCTCACTGGAAATCACATTTTGGGTTTTTTTCCCCCTCTCTCCTGTATTCCTCTCTGAACTATGTCTTTCCATTGGTGCTTGATTTGATTTTGCAAGATAAGGAGAAAAGAGAGTGCCAAACAATTCTATTTCAGCTTTGTGCAATCAGGGAATGGATTATTTTAACTTGGCCCAGGCGCTCTTTCCTTTCCAGACTCTAACAAGAGGCAATTCTGCCTTCATCCAGATTATTAATGATGTACAGGTTGGTGAGCAAATATTGGGTTAGTAGAGGCCCTCTGTTGACAGTCCAGAATTTCAAAGGGCATACGCAACAGTTTTTAATTCAATTAGGCAAACAGACTCTGAGTAAATATTATGGGCAAAGCACAATCTTAGTTACTATAGGGGGAAAAATGACAAACATTTGGCCTCTGAGGAGACTATAATCAAGCATTTTGCAGCCCTTTTCTTTAAAAATGGCTTAATACCTGTTTATCTCATAAAGTGCCTACAATTATCTTATTTTTAACTCAAAGATTTAGAGCCAAAGGGCCCAGTGGAATGAGGTTTTAGAATGATTTATGGTGGAGAGGGCTCTGTGCCCTTCAGTAACACACAGAAGGGTATGTTGACTGCTGGTCATGCAAATTTAAATTCTTGACTACTGGGCAAAAATGTTTTTAAAAATGCCTTCCTCTTATCTTCCAGGTACTATTAAATTGATAGGATTTCCAGCATGGATTGCAGGTCTGGATTGGGAGATAAAGAGAAGGCTAGAAAGCCGTTCCTGGAAACTAAATGGCCTGATGCAAAACTGTGGAGTAAACAGTTTGCTCTGGGGGCTCTTTCCCTGCCTCCACTCCTTTCCCCGGCCTGGGTCTCCCAGCCTCCAGCTCCCTATCCCACCCTGGCTCTCAGCAAGCTGTTGTTGCAGTCTGCCATAAATTGTTAGCCCTTCTTAGCCATGTAACTCCAGTTTTCCTTTTATTCCCCTTTAAACGAACAGTTTATTTTCCTTAGTCAACTCAGTTAAGTGGAAGTCTTCATATGCTTTTGTGTTGTTATGTCCTGACATTTTCATTTAATGATACACAGTCTGTGCCCTGTGCATGACCATAGTCCTAGACGCTATAACTGGGGAGGATTAAGGTAACCTAAGAAAAGTTGCCTGACCATGAATTTACTGAGATAGCAGAATAAGCTGGAAAATCTTTGCTGTCGTACAAATTGAGAAATCATAACTCAGAATGTTTTCCCAAAGTGAAACTTTCTTAGGGTCTAGGGCTACCTGGCTTTTCGGGGGGACTAGCATGTTCAGAACACATTGACCGAGAAGTCAGAAGGCTTGCACCACAGTCCTGACTCTTCCACATGCTAACTGTGTGATCTCAGGCCAAAATGCTTAACCTGTCTGGACTTCAGTTTCCTCATCTTTAAAAATAGGATAATAATGGTTGTGTATCTCGAACATAATGAACATGCAAGATTTTCTGAATCTGGGAAGAACTAGATACAGGTACAATACTGTTAAGGTGTGTGTGACTTCTCTTACAGTCAGAAACCTCATTGTCCCTTCCGGCATCTGGCTCTTTACACAGCAATATCCCGCAAGAGTTTACTTGTTCTATTAGCTGATTTTGTTCTTATGGTTTAGCCGAAAGAAAATAATAACATCTTGAGATAGTCATCAAAATACATTAAAGAATAATGAAATATTCCCTAAAATACCATGGAGTGGGGAAAAGGCACCCTTACCTATCAGGTAATTGCACACCTCCCCTGGAGGTGTTCATCTGAAAATAAACAATAGTATAAAAGGCCTTTCAAGGGGCTGGGAAGTGTCATCAAGGTGCTCTGTGGCTCTATGTAAGAGCCTGCTGCCAACATTACAATCAACGTGAGACTCTGCTCATGAAAACTGGGGTACAGAGATGTGACCCTGGTCACACTGCAAGCTGAAGTGGGACTTGAATTCAGGTGTGCTTGTGTTTAGATTTAATAGGATTCCATGTTATTTTCTCAGCTTCCTATCTGGGAAGAGTTCTGCTTTTTGGGAAACTTGAGAGCAGTCATAATCTACTCTGGGTTTTCTACACAGTGGTAATCAGTGAGCCTACAAATGTTCACTGGAGTAGCCCTGGCAGCTCAGAGTCTCCTAGAAGATAAAATTTATAGATGTAATAATAGGACAGAGCTTCCAGTTACCCAGGAATAATCAATAGCACACTACAAGAATAGAAGGTAATAGGATATTTAGAATGTACTTTTGTGCCCCATGTAGAGCTTCATAAGAGGTAACACTAGTAGTTATCCCAAATGGTACAGTAATGGGACTGAACAGTTTCCCAGCCTAGGCCAGGCCCTTCCCAGAGAAAAGCAGGGCTGTATGAATAGATGGAGCTGTGGCCAGTTATTTTGATGCCAAGAAAAGAGAAGGGCCCTGAGAGAGGGTGGTGGGATGAGGGAGCCCTGAGTTCCTTCCCTAAAGTTAAGATGACCTGTACATTTGTTTACTATTCTCAAAGGACTTATTAGGAGAACTTGAAGGACTTTCTCTCTTTTCCAAATAATGTTTACCTATCTTATCTGAAAACATTTCCTTTCCTGGGTTTCAGACTCAGCCTGCAATATGTGACAGCCAACAGCTGGACAGGTCACCGCGTATGTGTGTGCAACATGGTAACATTTAGTTACTCAAAGGAAAACACAACAATAAGACGACAAGCCCAGCCACCCCAGATGAAGACAGCAGAAGAGAACTAACTGATTTGTCTGTTGTCTTTCCTGTCAAGATCGCCCTTGCTTTCGCTTTGGTCAGCGGGAAGGACTTTATGTATGAGTCATACAAATGTTTTGCCAGGGCCCGGAGATCAGCAGACTCTGGGTTCAGCTGGTCGATATCACTGGAGATCTCCGCCAACAGCTTCTCCTTCTCGGCCTGCGGCATCCGCCCAAACCTGATGGCTACAGAGGAAGAGAAACGACAGGATGAATTATTGAAGAATGGCTACTCCTAATGCGCACTGTTAACCCCCAGCCCCAGAGCCCATGTACTAAAAACCCCTCCTATCTTCCACCAGTGTCAAGTTCTGGTTTCTAGCTACAAATTTGCTCATGTTTTTATTTTCCAGAGAAAGCATAGATTAGCAGGAAAAATGAAGTTGTTTGCTTCTTTCATTAAAAAAAAGAAAGGCATTTAAAAAATAAATCTCATGAGTTTTGGATTGACAATGGTATACCAGAAATCTAATACTCAGCTCTTTGAATATTCTAAAGACTTGAAAAATATGGCCCATAGTCTACCTGTGGTCAGAAACCAGGATGCTGGCTCAACCTTCTATTTTCTCTGTTTTCTGAGATTCTGATTCTTTATGGTGACATCTGAACATGTGAATTTTTAGAGGGCTCTCCAGATGGTTCTGATACACATAGAAGTTTGAGAACAACTGTTTTGGGAAGTAACTCTGCTCACAGACAGTATGTATTCTGGCAGCATTGATGCTATTATCTATTAATCTACCCATTTTGTTCCAGAGAGGGATTAAGTGATGAGCCTTTTATATCGGTAGTCTGTATAGCCTAGGAAATGTTTTTTAATGATTAAAAGTGATTTCATAATTTCAAAAAAAAAAGCAATGCACGATCTTGCCAGGAAGCATTGACCTTGCCAGGAAGGTGGGCAAGAATCTAAGAGTTCAGCAAAGAAAGTAAAGTATATTAATTTACACATGAAATAATTGACAGCCAGCTCCTACTCATCCCTCAAGACCCAATTCAAATGCTCCCTTCTTTGTGAGGCTTTCCCTGACTTCTTAAAGCAGAGTTTATTACTCCAACACCCTTCAGTACATACTTCCATAATAGCAATTTCACACTGTACTTCAATTATATATTTTACATGTCTATTGATCCCACTATGGAACAATATCCTGGAAGCCAGGGGCCATATCTTATTCATCTTTGCATCCCCAGCACTTGACATAAGGTGTGGCACTAAAAGGATCAATATGCCACACAAGTGAAAGGAAGGAACTGTGCAGATTCAAAGCTGTATAGACACAGACTTTGTTCTCAGGGAGACTGTATGATCTGTTTTGTCCCTGCTGTAAAGAACTATTGAGGGTGCTTTCTATCATGCTGTTAGGCCAGAGAGTACTTCTACATTCAGTGGAGAGAGGCCATCATCATGCCCTGGACTCTCCAGGATCACCACTAAATGATGTTTTTCAAAAGACCATTTCCTTAACGTTTGGCTTCCTGTGGGGGTGAGGAAGTATGAAAGAAGAAAAATAAAGAAAGGAAGGCAAAGAGGGACATTAAAGGCAGATTAGTGAGGCCTAGGTTGGGGAAAAAGTCATCTGTTCGTAACTCTTTCAACTCAGATAAGTTTTTTCTTTCTCCCTATCAATATGACCACAAAGTATTATTTTGGATAATGCTAGTTGGGGGGAGTCACACTTTGGACTCTCTGCATTTTCTCTGCATTATCAGGACATTTGGACAGCACAGCCAGTACTACCCTGTGCATAGCTCTGCTGTTACACTATTTATGACAGTCTCCTTCCCTTCAGCTATGGCTCCTCGAGGGCAGAGACCGTCATATTTATTTATATCTCTAGCTCTTAGCGCTGCTCCGTCAATGGCTGTCAAATACCACAGTGAATAAATGGATAGTTCCTTGCTATATGTTATAAGCTAAAGGTGGTATTTCTACCATAAGAATAAAAGCACATGAACCCATTTCCATCTGAGGATTTAGTGAATTTTATTTTGGATTTGCTGGAGGAGAGATTGCTCTTCATCCTTGAGTCTCAGATTTCCTAAATTCATGTAACTTGACCTTAAATATGTTTTACAACCAACTAACACAGCTATTGTGTTGTAGGGGCTCCTTAGGGACCTCTGGTTAGAGGGGAGGAGAACCTGACCTCTTAGGATTCCTTTAAATTAAATAAGCCTATATTCATTTGGTAAGTTTATCCTCTGCACATGACCCCTTCACATAGAAATCTTTCAACAGCTACCATTTTTTGGTCAAAATTCTTGTCTGTCTCTACTCACTCTTTCCTGTTCTCTTTCTTTTTAGTTTCACAGCGATGGGCAATGAATGGTTGCTCACATTCTTATCTCGGTCCTCCACCCCTCTGGCCCCTGATTTGTTGAGGTCCCTCAGGATATGAGCTCATTACTCACTACCCTCTCAGAGTACGGCTCACAGAAATCATCTATAATGTTTTCTTTTCTCCCCTATATAAACCCTACAAAGGCACGAGTCTTGCTCATTACAGTATCCTCAGCACTGAGTATAGCCTGGCACATGTTAAGTCCTTATATAAAATGACCCCATACTAGATAGCAGAGTCTTTCAAAATCCTTCTCTGTGAAGCCGGGCCAATCATCTGCTTCCTTGTACTATGTGTATTCCTTGTTCATTAGCAGCTCTTCATTGAGGAGAGGGAAGTGGAGGAGGTGGGGGGCAGAGCATATGAGAATCACTGGATAACTTCTAAATTTGGTATTATTTTCCATAGGAAATTTTGATATGCCGTCCCTACTCCCAGTGAGGAGGGTATCAAAAACTTGGAGCTTGGGACAGTTTAGGGAAACTTGCTAAAGGATGGGCTCCTGCTGTATGTACATTTTACTTAGCTCCTGTATCCAGCAGCCCAATACGACTATATTGGTTTACACTGGTTATTCTACTGGAACATAAACCATATAAGGACCAGGTTTTCTCAGCTTTGCTTCTGGGTGCACCAAAATACACATAGGAGGCATATAATACATGATTGATCCATGAAACTCCAGAACATCAAGGTTAAAAGCAGAAAATGAGACAGAATGCACACTGGGAAGTTTGGGAAAGTGATCATGAAAGAGAATCATCCAATAAAATGACAGCATACTAGAAGTAGAAGAGATTTTAGTGTAAAGCTGGGAGACAATCAGGGTTGTATAACAAAATAGAGGTGACTAGAATCACCAAGAAAGAGCCTGTTGCCCTTGAACTTCAGCTACTGAACAGAGTACCCAATACTGTCTCTTAAGTCTGAATAATTACTGGATGTCTACTGCGTGCTAGACATTGTTCTAGGTTACATTTCCCCAGGTAATAAACTATAAATGCACAAAAAGTTTACATGCCTAGGAAAGCACTTTTTTCCTAACAGGTAATCAAAAAAGTTAATTTAAAATAAACCAACCAAAGATAGCCACATATTATGTTTGTTAGTCCTGCTTATCATCACTAACAGCAACTTTTGAAAAACAATTTTAGAAGAACTAGGAGATAGTAAAGCAAAACCTTCTGCTACAATCTAAATAAAATGTGAATTTTTATAAGTCAAAGTTTCCTCCAAAAGGCTAAATCTTATGAACAAATGTGTTATTAAATGTTCCTGCTGCAAACTGGTTCAATTAAATATCTGTGCAACTAATTACATACAGGTGAGTTCAGCATTTTTTACATACCAGAGGCTCAACAAAAAGGAGGAAAAATACATCCCATGTGGTGGGATGAAATTTGCATAAAACATGGAAGTCTGAAGTTATTGTGGGAGGAAATACAATTTTTTATTTGTGTGCAATTTTTTAAGGGAGAAAAGGATGATTTTATTTTGGTGCTTCTAAGTCCCACGTAATACCTACCTACCTCATGGAAGATGATGAGAGAAGGTACAGAAAGTGTTCAGCAACATGTGTGGCACATAATAATGCTTAATAAATGCAGCTTTTATTACCTGTGGATGAAGGGTCTAGGGCAACCATGGTTACTGTGGGCTACAGACCAGGATGGTGGCCACTCTACACTGACCTAGATTCCTTCCCACAGATAAGGAACTCTGAAAACCCAATCTTTCTGCTTGCCTGCGTGTCTCTCTGTCTTTAACTTGTTTAGGGAATGGTGTTTTTTACAGGAAGTAAAAATTGAATCTCACTTTCCACCCATCGGGTGGAGAATCTGAGAACCATGAAGAGGGAGGAATTCTCCTTTTGGATTGCTGTTTATGATAAGAGTGCAGTTAGAGCTTAGAAATAGTAGATGAAAATTCTAGATTGGAGAACAGAAATATAAAGGCTAAGCATGTCCATATACAAGAATATTTTTCCACATCTCCCACCACTGCTTAAAAGACAAAAGGAAAATGCTGCATAAGTCACTTGGCGAGAGAGAATGTTGGTCTCTCTGAAGGCAATGGAATTAACATTGAAGCCTAGAAGTCTATTTTCTAGTTTCAGCTCAGTGAAAAACCTAGAAAAGTGGCATAATTTTTCTGGTCTTCAATCACTTTATCTCTAGAATGGACTTGGAAAAGAAGATTTCTGAAGTTTCCTTCCTTTAGTTCTAAATTAGGCTATAAAATTCTCCAAATCTCAATGACACATTGTATAGGGGAACGTGCTATGTTCTCTCTTTTTTGAAGTAGTGTTTGTCTAATTTCTGAGGACCTAAAGAAAAAAGATGGCACATTCTGTTTGACAGATTAGGTACCTGTCACATAGAGCAACTTCCAGAATACTGGCATTCAGTGCCATATTTCGGATAATTAATCGCCTACAGAGAAGTCATGTGTCTCGGTTAAAAAAAAAAAAACAGTATCAGTATCAGTACGCACCCTGCAGGAAGAACAGGTCTGGTAGACATGCTTTAGTAATTTGGTGACAGTATATTAGCATACTTCATACAATACACTTTTACTGAACTGAACATAACTTACTACTAACACAGGACAGTTTCAGTACTGTGTTCAGTACTGACTTGCTGAGCACACGAACTCCAAGCACATGTACTATTTAGATACCCTGCTCTTTAGATCTGGGTGTACCACTAAGAAATAATCAATGTTTCTGAATGACAGTTAATGACACGTTTTAAAAACAGCTTCCTAATTGTAGAAGCATTAAAGACAAATGCTGCTTAATTATAAAAATTAAAGCAGATTTTCAAAATAATGGATCAATAG